TGTGCATGGGCAATTATCCTGCCTACAATGTCCTCATGCACCTTCGAAATGCAAAGTATTTCTTGGTGCTAGATCTGTGCTGGGGGTTCAACAATGTATGGATCAAAGATGGCGATGAGTGGAAAGCGGTGTTTGCGACCAACCAGGGCCTGTTTGAACCCACAGTGATGTTCTTCAGGCTATGCAACTCCCCAGCAACCTTCCAGACCATGATGAATGACATCCTCCAGGACTTCATTGATTGAGAGGTTGTTATCTGCTACATGGACGACATCCTGATCTTCATGTCCACCCTAGAGGAACATCGGAAGGTCATGCAGGAAGTGCTGGAATGCTGCAGAGGAAGCTCTTCCTCAAACCAGAAAAGTGCAAGTTTGAGCAGTGCCACATCAAATACCTCAGACTTGTCATCTCCAAGGGTAGTGTTGCCATGGACCCAGTGAAGGTCCAAGGGGTCCTTGACTGGCCAATGCTGACGAAGGTGAAGGGGGTACAATCCTTCCTGGGCTTCGTAAAATTCTACCATCACTTCATCAAGGACTTCTCTGAGACAGGTGTGGCCACTCCACACCCTGACCTGCAAAGCAAAGGCCTGGACATGGGGGGAGAATGGGGGGTGCACCTTCAGTGCCCTCAAGGCTGCCATCACCTCCGCCCCTGTCCTTGCTTTTCCTGCTGACTCTGGCCACTACAAACTTGAATGCGATGCCTCCAACTTTGCCACTGGCACCATCCTGTCCCAGCCCCAAACCGATGGTGAGTTCCACCCTATTGCCTTCATGTCCAAGAGCTTCACTGAAGTAGAATGCAACTACAAAATCTATGACAAAGAAATGCTCATGATAGTCCGAGCGCTAGAAGAGTGGCATCACTTCATAGAAGGGGTGTCAGGGCACACACCCTGACTAGCCCGGACCCGGACCCGCATCCGGACCCGCTTCCACCCGCTGCGCTTCCCGCATGCGTGCATGCTCCGCGCGCCGCATGCTCCGGGCCCGGTTCCTACTCCTTCATGTGACTTCCGGGTATCCCCGGAAGTTTTCCTGATATGGTGGCCACTGTGGGAAGATGAGAAGTTAGCTTCCTTCTCATCTTCTTACCCACAGTAGGCAAGTTGTATCTTACTTGCCTTTATCTATCCATCTCCTTACCCACAGTAGGATTGTGCCCTGGATAGGGCTGGCCAGACCAGAGGCTGTGGACCATAGGGGAGGGTCATGGGGACCCGGGAGTTGTCCCCTGACAAGGGGCTGAGGAGAAGGTCGATATCTACACGGACCACCACAACCTAGGCTACTTCTGCACCATGCAGAGGCTGAATCGCCACCAAGCGCGGTGGTCACTATTCCTGTCCTGCTTCCACTTCACCCTCATCCACCGACCAGGGAAACTCATGGGGAAACCGGACACCCTCTCCCACTGCACTGACCACCTGAAGGGAATGGATGACAATGACAGCCTGACCCTCCTACAGCCAGAATGGTTTGAAGCCCGTGCGACCGAGGCCATCACAGTGGAGGGAGAAGAGGCGACCATCCTGGAAAGAATTCGCATGGCGAAAGACCGTGATGAGAAGGTAGTGAAAGCGCTGAAGGAGCTGGGAGATGGAACCCTCAGGACAGATGAATGGAGCAGAGATGGAGAGTTGGTCCTCTACCAGGGAAGGGTATATGTCCCGAAAGACCTGCAACTCCGCCATGACCTGGTGCGGCTACACCAGGACGTGCAGGCGATGGGACACCTGGGGCAATGGAAAACCCTGGAGCTTGTCTCCCATGACTACTGGTGGCCCCAGATGGCAGAGTATGTGGGCCGTTACGTGACGGGGTGCGGCACCTGCAATCAAGTCAAGTCATTCCCCTCACAGAAGGTGGGGAAGCTCATGCCAAACAAGATCCCCACCCACCGCTGGCAAGTAATATCTGTTGATATGATTGGAGAACTCCTCAAGTCAAAGGGCTACAACGCCATCCTAGTGGTGGTGGACTGCCTCTCTAAGCGCATCCATGCAGTCCCTACAGTCACGGCGGTAGACTTGGCTGGAATCGCCCAACTCTTCCTCAAACACGTCTGGAAGCATCACAGGCTCCCCAAGGGGATTCTCAGCGACAGAGGGAGTGCCTTTGTCTCTCAGTTCTCCAAAGAGCTAGTGGCCCTACTAGCGGTCAAGCTGACCCCTTGGGCACCTTACCACCTGCAGATGGATGGACAGACAGAGCAGGTAAACCAGGAGATAGAAGCCTACCTCCGAGTGTTTGTTAACCACTGCCAGGATGACTGGGTGGACTGGCTCCTGCTAGCAGAGTTCTCCCATAATAACCGCATCCACGCCTCAACCCGCTGCATCCCCTTCAAGCTCGACACAGGCCAACACCCCAGGATGGGGATGGAACCCACTTGTGCATCAGAAGTCGAAGCCGCAGACGCTGAAAGAGGGCTCACAGCTCTCTATGCCGACTAAGCTTGTGGGGCCAAACTCTCCAAAACCTCTACTTTCTCTCTTGACTTCGCTATGCTCGATCCTAAAACTCCGTGGTGGGTTCTCCGGGATTCTGTACCCACTCGTTGTGGGCTAGACAGTTGCCCTTATCCCTACTGTTGGATTCCACACACTCACTCCAACTCTAGCGCATCCTAGAGAATTTTGGGGGAGGGGAGAACTTCTTTCCAAAAATCCGGTATGTACAGGATTATAAGAAATAATTATTTTTAGAAATAATAGATGGAAATATTGATGCCATATGGCACCTGCATACCTTATTAGGCGAAATAATAAAAAGGGTAACAGCATCAATGAAAGAATATCAATCAATAACTGAAATGATGGCAAAATATGAAAATAGAAAAAATAAGCGATTCCTCAACGGATTTACGGAATTAAGAGCCAAAATTAGAAATAAAGCCGGAGATAACTCTCATGCAGCCAATAGGCATTTTTACCTATTTATTAGACGCTGTGGGAACGAGTGAGGCTGGAATTCTGGGCTGCCGCTTGAGATTCCCACGCCCGCACATGCTCGTGACCTGCTGTGCCTAACTTCTCCAACACGGAACTCCATCAAGTCTCCACCGATTGGGACGTTCTTGGTATTGTCAGAATCGTACGAATTAGGACTATTTTTAGATACCAAATTTGTACCGAGTCGTCACGTGAATGAAAGTCGTTCCCTAATCATAGAACCGGGTATCCAAGCCGAGTCTGTGTGTGGGTGATTATTCCACCTACAACGTGTTCACCTCGAGACTGATGAAAATGCAGGAAGAGGTGAAGGCAGCACTGGAGCATGCAGCGGAAGAGATGGCCTGCTACTACAGCCGAAACCAAGAAGTAGTGCCCGAGTACAAAGAAGGTGATCAAGTCTGGCTCAGCACCCAAAACTACACCACGAACCACCCTACCAAGAAGCTAGACCACAAATGGACCGGCCCCTTCAAAATCCTCAAGGTCGTATCCCCTGCTGCCATCAAACTCCAGCTCACAGCACGACAAAGGGGAGTCCACCCAGTGGTATCAGTAACAAACGTCTGGCCCTACCACCCAGATGGGATCACCAAACGACCTGCCGACCCCCACCCAGGCCCCGAAATCATAGACGGAAAAGAAGAGTACAAAGTTGAGAAGGTCCTCAACTCCCACTGGCGCTGCAGGAAGCTCTGGTATCTGGTGAAGTTCATGGGCTGGCCAAACTCCGAAAACAAGTGGCTCCCTCATGACAACCTGGCCAACGTGTGCCACAGGATTGAGGAGTTCTACAGAGCACACCCAGACGCCCTGGGCAGAGAGCAAGAAAACCCCCTAGCCACTTTGAGGCAAAGTGTCAGGGCACACCCGCCTGACCCGGCCCCACCCGGCCCCACTTCACCCAGTACCCCACCACCCAGTCTTCTCTTACCTCCTCCCCCTTCCTCTTTCTTTCTTTCTCTATTCCACTCCCTCTTCATTTATTTCACTTTCTCTTTATTTTCTCTTTATTCTACATGGACAACCTTTCCTTGTATCAATGTACCATTGACCCACCCGCAGCATGCTCACAACACGCCCAGCCTGGGTGCCTTGGGCAACCCCCACTACGTCCAGCTTGCACGTTCACAGCGGACGCCCTCGGGATCCCCCACGGGGACACCCGGGTGACTATGGCTGTATGCAAGGATGACGTGGCACCCATCATGTGACCTAAGCCGCATGTATATAAACATACCTGAAGTGGGAACCAAAGAAGTAGCCTTCTTCTCACCCTTTTCCACTTCAGTCTAAGTGGCCAGGGACTGTCTCCTGAGCCGGGCCCGCCAGTACGCATGCCCACTCCACACCCCACAAGACTTCTAGTGTCAGGCATCTCATGGACACGTCCCTGACACAAAGCAGCTCAGGGAGGAGGTGATGTCAGGGCACGCCACTCCACTCCATGCTGCACCCTCCTGCTGTTCCTCTTTCCCTTTCTCCTTTGTCTTTCCTCTTACCCATGTAGCATGGACACGTCCAACACCAAGCACTCTGTGTGGGTACTGTGCCGCCGGATATGCTGTGACTTCTCCCCTCTGACACTTGGGATCGCCTGTGGAGCCATCTGCAATAGCCCGGCTTGTCAGGGATGCATCCGGGGCCGAGAGGGCCCAGGGGTAATGTCCAGCACTGAGGCCGTCGCAGGGTGTGGAGCAGGCGTGTGTACTGGCAGGCCCGATCTGGGACAATGGTCCCTGGCCACTCAGACTGAAGTGGAGAATGTGAGAAGAAGGTTACTTCTTCGGTTCCCACTTCAGGTACATTTATGTACATGTGGCTTGAGTCACATGGTGAGTGCCACGTCATCCTCGGGGACAGCTGCAGGCATCCAGGTGTCCCTGTGGGGGATCCCGAGTGTCAGAGTACACCCACTTCCGGCCACTTCCAGCCTACTTACCATCATGATCTGATTCCATGATCTATGATCACCCAGATTCCATGATCCATGATCCCTGTACAGCCTTATGATCTGATCCCACTCCAAGATCCATGTTCCATGATCCATGATCCAACACAGCCAGACAAACCTGGATCATTGATTGTTGGTATGTACAGTGCCTCGTAGATTAGCTGTGTGTGTGGGCTACAGTATATTACACCCTGAGTAGCGAGCAGGAAGACCAGCTTTCTTCTCTCATTTCCCCTTGCTGCTCAGGTATGTTGTACATAGTAACATAGTGGCTGGAATACAACTCATTTCCCCTCACTGCTCAGCTGGAGCCTGTGTCGCCTAGCACACCTCGCGGTTCTCCTATTGAGACTGACCCAGACCTTCCTAGTCTTACCTCCACTTCCACTGGATCTCTTGACCTTAGCTCCAAGCAGCTCGGTATCCTGACACTGAGAGTGTCCGCTGCATGTGCGCATGCTGGGCACAGCGGGAAGCCGTCTGGGGTGTGTGGGTGTCAGGGCACACCCGCCTGACCCGGGCCCACCCGGGCCCACCCAGCCACACCACACCCGCTCCCCGCTGTCTATCCCACTCCCCCCTCCTTCCTCCCTCTCCTCCCCTTTCTTTTCCCTTTTCTTTCCCCTTTTCTTTATTTCATTCTTCTCATCTTCCTCTTCCTGTTTATTTCTTTCTATCTACACGGACCACCTTCCTTTGTATCGATGTACTATTGACCCATCCGGCCCACACACCCCGGATGGCTTCCCGCTGTGCCCAGCACACGCGCATGTAGCGGACGCTCTCGGGATCCCCCACGGGGACACCCGGATGCCTGCGGCTGCCTCCGAGGATGACGTGGCACCTGTCATGTGACTCAAGCCACATGTACATAAATGTACCTGAAGTGGGAACCGAAGAAGTAACCTTCTTCTGACATTCTCCACTTCAGTCTGAGTGGCCAGGGACCACTGTCCCGGATCGGGCCCGCCAGTACGCACGCCCGCTCCACACCCCGCGACGGCCTCAGTGCCAGGTATTACCCCCGGGCCCTCTCGACCCCGGACGCGTCCCTGACAGTGGGCCGGACGGGTCAATAGTACATCAATACAAAGGAAGATGGTCCGTGTAGATAGAAGGAAATAAACAGGAAGAGGAAGATGAGAAGAATGAAATAAAGAAAGGAGAAGGAAGAGGGAAAAGAAAGGGGAAGAGAGGGAGGAAGGAGGAGGGAGAGGGTTGGACAGCAGGGAGCGGGTGTGGTGTGGCCAGGTGGGTCCGGGTGGACCTGGGTCAGGCGGGTGTGCCCTGACACGGCTCCACCTGGGCTGACATGGCACCCCCCACATGACCCACTCCTGCCTGTATATAAACCGAGCCGAAGCAGAACTGAAGAAGTAGCCTTCTTCTCATTACTGCTTCAGGCAAGTACCTTACTCTAGCTTAGTTTAGTTTAGTTTACTTTCATCCTAATAACAATCATTACTGCTTCAGCCTAAGAAGCCAGACAGGGATGCAAGCCCGAGTGAGGGCCCCTCACCATACATTCCCATCACTCTGCTGCTGCCTGGGCCGCTAGCGCTGGGGGCTACACTGCTACCCCTGCCTCTCCTGTACCATCCCTGACACATGCTAGGCTCATATATATTTTAATAATAGCTGAAACCAGACAACACCCAAGGAATTGGTGTTGTTTGTGAGGTCATTTTTCAGCTTAGTGAATTGCTCCTCTCACAAGCTCCTGAGGGTGTTAGACACTGGTCTGGGGTCGGCACTGAGGGTCGCCATTGCAGGCTGCTAAAGGCTGCAATGGCCATGATGCTGTTAACAAGGCCCGAGGGTAGGGCATTTGGCCTCAGTGACTCTAAAGGAGTGCTGTGCCCCCTAGCTGTCTCTTGGCCCTCAGTTCAGACTCACTGGGGTTGCCTTGTTGGGGTCAGGACTTAGGAGGTCATGGTCAAATTGATATTAGAGCTAAGGTACAATAAAGTATCATACAAGATATATATAGGGAGAAAGAATGAATGGAAGCAGACCCAGGCAGAAGGCCGAAGGGTCCGGAAGAAAATATGAATAGGGAACGGAGTTGGCCGCATAGTGGCTGGCAATGACTGTGGGTCAAAACAAACAATAATAGATAAACAAGAAAGAGTGTAGGGCCACGATAGTGGTGATGGTATCGTAGCGGCACCGGACTCAGAGTTGGGCTGGAGTTGGGTGTGGGAATGATAGCAGGCCAAGTGGGCAGGGTAGAGGAGTCGCACTGTCAGGGACTCGTCCGGGGTTGAGGGGGCCCGGGTGTAACGTCCGGGGCTGAGAGCCTGGCGGGGGGGGGCGGATTGGGCATGCATACTGACAGGCCCAATGCAGGACAGTGGTCCCTGGCCACTTAGACTGAAGTGGAAAGTTGGCGTGCATACTGGCAGGCCTGGCTCAGGAGGCAGTCCCTGACCACTTAGACTGAAGTGGAAATGGGTGAGAAGAAGGCTACTTCTTTGGTTCCCACTTCAGGTGTCATATCCATCTATGGCCATCGTCCTCCACTACCTCCGATCCTTCTGGACTACCTCCACGCCTTCATCACTAACCTTGGAGCCCCCGTATTCCACAATTCCCTCCAACTCCCTCGATGGTCACCACCCCCTCAATTCAATATATTACCTACACCTCCCTACATACGGAACCCCAAAGGCCTCCAGACAGCTCCAATGTCTGCTAGCACACTCCCACCCCCACTGGGCAATTCACTTGCTTGCCCTGCAAGCCTACCTTCAGGCCTATCTGTTAGAATGGGCAGATTTGGATGACTCCGGAGTGGAATCAGAGACTTAGCATGGAAGGACCTCGGCCTCAGTGATTCAGGGAGAGCGCTGTGCCATTGCTGGTTGTCCTAGGGGTCCCTAATTTCAGATCTAGCAGAGGGAAAGTCTCTTGGGGGCATTTCAGGTCGATTTCAGACTGAGGTTACAAGTTACTATGTACATTGTATATAAGGAGGGGTCCGGAATCAAAAGGAGCAAGGGTACTCCGAAAGGAGACAAAGGGAGCTGGAAGGAGGAACAACACCGGGGGTTGGGGGTTTGACTCAATGGTGTTTCCCAAAGGGGAGTGAAGGACCAAGGCCCAGTTAGACATTTGAACTTGTCACCTGATTGTTGACTATTGTCAGGGATGCATCCGGGGTAGAGGGGGTCTGGATGTATGGCAGAAGGGCCCTCGTGGGGTGCGAACCAGGCGTGCGTGCTGGCAGGTCCGGGAAGGGACAGCAGTCCCTGGCCACTTAGACTGAAGTGGAGAATGTGAGAAGGTTACTTCTTCGGTTCCCACTTCAGGTACATTTATGTACATGTGGCTTGAGTCACATGATGAGTGCCATGTCATCCTCAGAGACAGCCGTGGGCATCCAGGTGTCCCCATGGGGGATCCCGAGAGCGTCCGCTGCATGCGCCTGTGCTGGGCACAGCAGGAAGCCGTCCGGGGTGTGTGGGCCAGATGGGTCAATAGTACATTGATACAAAGGAAGGTGGTCCATGTAGATAGAAGGGAATAAACAAGAAAAGGAAGATAAGAGGAATGAGATAAAGAAAGGAGAGAAAGGAAAGGGGGAGAGAGGGAGGAAGGAGGAGGGAGAGGGTTGGACAGTGGGGAGTGGGTGTGGTGTGGCTGGGTGGGTCCGGGTGGACCCGGGTCAGGTGGGTGTGCCCTGACAACTATTCTGATACATCATTGTAATATTCTTCGAATATTATTTCTCATACAACACATAGCCACTATCTGTCCCTGACAGATTCCGGAGTGGAACCGGAGACTTAGCAAGGAGGGACCTTGACCTCAGTGACTCAAGGGGAGTGCTGTGCCATTGCTGGTTGTCCTGTTGTTCCTTAATTTCAGACATAGTGAGTGAAGAGTCTCTGGGGGGCATTCTAGTCAATTTTTGACTGAGGGTTTCTCGAGTATGTACAAGCAACTATATATAATAGAGTGTCAGAAACACAAGAAAACAAAGGGGGTCCAAAATGGAACAAAGGTGCCTGAATGGAGACAAAGGGAATTATGGTAGCAGGACTACACCGAGGGTCAAGGGTTAGACTCTATGGTGCATCTGAAAGGAGGTAAGGAGGGCAAGGCCCAGAGGGGCAGGAGGTGTCAGGGACTTGTCCGGGGTCGAGGAGGCCCAGGTGTAGTGCCCAGCGCTGAGAGCCTGGCAGGGTGTGGATCAGGCATGCATACTGACAGGGCTGATACAGGACAACAGTCCCTGGCCACTTAGACTGAAGTGGAAAGTTGAGAAGAAGGCTACTTCTTTGGTTCCCACTCCAGGTATGTTTATATACATGTGGCTTGGGTCACATGACAGGTGCCACATCACCCTCACACACAGCCATGACCACCCAGGTATCTCCATGGGGGTCCCAAGGGCATCCAGTGCAAGTCACAGCAGGAAGTCGCCTGAGATGTCCAGGCTGGGTGTGTCATGCGTGCTGTGGGTGGGTCAATGGTACATTGATACAAAAGAAAGTCGTCCATGTAAAATAAAGAGAAAATAAAGAGGAAATAGAATAGGGGGGAGAGAGGAAGTGGAAGGGGAGAGAGGGAAGGGGAAAGAAGGGGGAAGCAGGGGGAGTGGGTACCAGGGTACTGGGTCAGGTGGGGCTGGGTCAGGTGGGTGCACCCTGACAGGGGGATGAGGGGAAATGGGGTTGATGACTAACTGGCTCAATGTAAAGAAGCAGTAGTCCAAATAGGGGTGAGGGAGAAGTGTGAAATATCCACTACAGGTGGCGAAAGTGCCAAAGGTAGATCCATGAAGCTCAGAGGTAATGGAGCTTACAGAGGCAGGGTTGAAAGTCCAAGGAATATTGGCAATGGTGTTTATGTGAAATGAGGTCACCAATGCAATGGACTTGAGCCAAGGTGGAGTCAAAGTCCGAGGTTGGGGACATGATGGGATCTTGGAGTGGAGGTACAAGTGGTGTCCGAGTATGGGGTACAGGACAGAGGTGGGAGGTCATACCTTGGTGGGGGTTGGTGGAAGAGAGAGAGAGTCAGGAGGAGAGGAAGGTGGTGTCCGGTCCAAATGTTATAGAGCGCAATATTTGTCTGGAAGCAGAGAAGGGACTCAGTAAGGAGGGACCTTGGCCTCAGTGACTCAAGTGGAGCGCTGTGCCATTGGTTTGTTGTCTAAGGTGGTCCTTAATTTCAGTTTAGCAAGGGGAGTTGTTGGAATCAAGCATGATACATGGATTTACACATGTTTGCACTGATGTTTTAATTCTAGTGGTCTATCATTAGCTGGTCCAATCCCAGCCCCGTTGTGGCCTCACCCCCATGGTTTCTATAGGAGTCTCTTAGGGGGACAATCCAGTCGATTCTGGTTCTCTAGTCATCGATTTCAGACTAGGTGTCAGGGCAATAGCCCTGAACCCCAAGCCATATGTAATTATAAGATACATATACAGTGGGCAACAAAACTGTTCACATGTTTTGCTGTTTTGAAAAGACACACTCATACAGGCTTAGGAAAAATTCTGAAATT